AGAAAAGAAGGGCAGGATTTCATCTCTCAACCTCTGTGCTGTAACTTAAGTACAAAATGTGAAATATAACAAACTTCTGACCTCGCCTTCATAGCCTGATCGTCACTATTTTCATCGGTTTTTCCCTGCTCATTTTTCAAAGGAATTAAGTAAAAGCCACATCAAAGAAACTTTAAACTAGTCATGAAATACCAAATTCTATTTCCTACAGCAAACATGACTAAACTGTTACACATAAATACATTAAAGTTAATCCCAGCCAGTGATCTACAAGGTGCTATTTCTGCTGACAAAACAGTCGAGTCATAACTGTGCTCAGGGCATTAAACTGAAGTTCATCCATTTTGGTGCATTTACAATTTTGGCTTCTGAGCACTAGTAATACCTCTAGATCTAATAACATGAGGGGAATTACAAGAAGAGAATGTCTAAATGACTGCAACTGTGATCTCGTATCTGAATTATCAGAAGCTCCAAGCACAAGAAGCAAGTGGGTTACAGATCCACACTAAAACTCTCCAATTATTAAACAATTAAGCCCTGCAATCCTAATCAACCCACTGAGGAGCTGTGCTTACTAGTTACCATCCTCCTCAACTGAAAATTGCTCTTGGGAGAAGAGAAGGAGGAGGCTAAAAGACACTGAAAAGCGTGGCAGATTCTAGAAGGGTCAAACCACATCATGTCTCCCAGATACACTCCTGGTCAGAACAAGTCTGCATGGAGTAGCATCAGGTTGCTTTTGCTTTCTTTCAGCTCCCAGTAAAGAGGAATTGGACCCACTCTTGCAAACCCTCTTCCGAGTTAAAATACAACCACCTCGCCACTGCCAACTTTTCAGCCAGCCAGGGAAGTGCTTCGTCGCTACCGGGAGGAGCTGCTAGAGAATGAGCTAAAGCTGCCTAGTCCAGAGTGCTGGGCTACATTGCTTTCAATGGCCTTCCCAGCTGTTTTCCCATCTCTGGTCCTCCACAGAAGACATTATGCTGACACCAGACTGACCAAATAGTTATTGCCTTACTTCTTTTAGAAACACGTATGAGACACATTCCTAGAGGGCCAGCGATACCACCTCTCCAGCATTACCAGCACTCTTCTTTTAGAAACACGTATGAGACACATTTCAAGAGGGCCAGCGATACCACCTCTCCAGTATTACCAGCACCCTTGACAGATGAAGTTAAACTTTGCGTAATTCCCCCGACACCCTTTATCAAGTCCCAGGGTTCCTCTGCAGCTTGGCAGAAGCTTCTGGTACTCTGGCTGACTTATCATGGGCGTGAGCACTGTGCCAGGTCCTGCTGCAGGTGGTTGGGCTGCGCTTCTGCGGCTGCCCCAGCAGCAGCCGTTTCTGTGTGCCCCTCAGGAGAGGGCCAGCAAGGCCAGAGATAAAACCAACTGTGATTTTCCACTGCTTTGTCACTGGATAAGAACCCTATAAACCCTCTATAGTATGCAAAATCAGTTTCTAAGAAAGGACTCTGTCTGAGAATTAACCAGCATAAACTAGAGATTAGATCCAGCCTTTTGACAGCAAGGTAAGCTTGCTGAAAAGCCTCCTAGCTAACAGCTGTGGTTAAAGCAAACCACCTTCCAGGATGGAAAAATAGATTTTTCCTTCTAAGAATCAGTTATGCAATGGACTCTGGAGGAAAAAGAAACACTAGGAAAAAGGACCAGAAAGCAAAATTCAAATCAGGAATTCAGTCAAATGTTTCTGCAGAAATAAAGACTAAAGCTCCATATAAGCTCAAGTATGTAAGTGAAACTTCACATACTTGTAAATGTGTAATGAGCAGATCATATTCATGGTAATTAGATAATCAAGTTCAAAGGCTCAGCAGTGCCTTTTTATTTTTAGATACTCGATACTGAAAATTTGTAGAACACAAAACAAATCTGCAATGCATAAGAGGCTCTGCTGCTTTGGTCCACATAAATTCCTCTCCATGCCTCTGCCAAACCATCTTTTCACACTGATGACCACACAGGACTTCCTTTCCTCTCCAGCTGCTGTGCTTCCACTTACATTCTCCCTACCAGAAAGAGCACGGTGGACATCCACAGCTAGAAGCACTGTTGCTGGGGGTAAGCAAGTTGCTTATTTTTAAGACCACACAGTCTCCTACATGCGATTTTGCCAAAAGGGCAACTCACTAGTTGCTATAGCACCTACTTCAGCTGAGATACAGGAGAGGTTGCTGGTACAACCAGAATGTCTCGGGTATCACTGAACACAGTTGCTAGCAGCCATTGAAGGGAGATGAGACGACCCGGGTCTCCCCACTCTGGCGCAGATCACTGAGCCCAAATAGGTCAGCCCTTCCTTTCTCAAACTTTCTGCCTACAGATGCACAATCCATGGGGCCAACCCGCTCCACTGCCATGTCTCTGCTCTCCATTCCCTAAAGCTGGGCTTCTCCCTTCCTGTCTGCCTGTTTCAGACAGGTAGCTGTGAGTTCTCCTGAGCAGACTGCTTGGTCCCCCGCAAATGCTTTCCCATGCTATTCCCTGACTCCAAAACAGTCCACACAGGGAAGGAGGAACGGTGGCATTTCCATAGAGACAGCCTGCCACTGTGACACAGCATGCTTAAAACTTTAAAAACTTTAAAATCTATAGGAGGCAAAGGCTATGTTCCTTCAACTTTAAAACAGGCAATTTAATCGTAAGAGAGTAATTTCAGAATTAAGACTTCCAAAAATTGTCACTAAGCTAGCGCACAGCTCTCTACTCCGTTGCGCATGGTTATTCCAACTGTGATGATGCAAAGTGCCTTATAAGAAGACCACGCGTATCAAAACAGATGCCACTCAGTGATATTTTTGTTGTTACTCACAAATTTAGGCTGAGGAAGAATACGAGGAAGACTAAGGAAGACAGAAGAGGACAGGCTAAGAAAGCCAAATCCTCTCCCCTGGCCCATTGGGCTGATGTTGCAGAGTTCCTTCAGCCCTTGTGAAGAAGGATTCATCTCACCTCAAACTGCAGACTGGAACCAGTCCAGCTGCAATACAAAGCCACACCAGTGCTTTCAGCCAAAGAGGGAGGTCACTGTCCAGCCACAGTGACTCTTCCCTTCCCTAAACCCAACTCCATGTCAGAAGCCTGAATTCTGGAAAGTTTTACAAGACCTCCTCAATCTCATAATCTCTTTAAGAGATGCAGCACCTGTGGCTTTTGAAACATTCAAAGTAACATTGGAGAACACAGGCAGGAACAACAGAGCTCAGTAAGGCAAAAGCATAGCCAGTCCCTGAATTCTATCATTCTTTATATTAATTTAAAATTGATAAAATGCTTTGCTGACTTAGAAAACTCAAGTTTTGATTTCTTCATTCTGTTGAGGGTAGTAGTCAAAGCTGTACAGACAGAGAATGCTCACACAAGGTACACTTTGTCTTTCAAATTTTAGTTGCTGTTTGGCAGCTCTGGTCTGCCTTTCCAGCCCTCTGTGGTATGAGAAGAAGGCCTCTCTAATGCATATTAAGCTCAACTTTAGTCCAGCCTTTCTAGCACTCACATTGCAAAGCTGGGCATGCACTTATATTTTCTGTTTATCTGTACTCTTACATCTCTCTCTCACCACCCCCACCTCCTTCAGACACTCACAGTCCCAGAGGGGAATGCAAACAGGGCCAGAATTTGTCCTTTGGTGATTCAGAAAAATTCTGAGAAGTTCAAGAAAAAAAGAAAGAACGTAACAGACAGGGCACTATGAAATCTACAGAAAGGAAGAAGATTAAAAGTAGGAAGGAACAACCTGAGCTCACTAAGAGAGAGTCTGAGCCCCCAAATGTAACAGAAATTATATCTTAAGTATAAGAAAGCACAGCCCAAGCCATCCACTCTGCTATTTTTACAACCACATTAAGGACCCTAACAATCCTGCCACAGAAAAGTTTGTCTTCTGAAAACATTTAGCTAGGTAAGATCACAGTCCCAGCTGCTGCCCACACTTCTGTAAAAGCAACATCACTCTGTCTTTGCTGCATGGCAGACTTATCAGTAGCAGATACCATGCAAGGCCTCAAAGAGATAACAGGCATATTATCAGCAGCGAGTGCGAGAATCTTTCTTGTGAAAGCCATTTTTTTCTTCAGCAAACTCTCCAGACATCCCACTTGAGATGTGAAAGGCCTGGAAACTGCTATGGCCACTTCTGCTGTTTCCATTTCAGCTATCCACAAAGAAGTGATTAAAATGTTGCAGTGTGCTCTGCATCTTACTAAGAACAATCGTAATGCTGTCACATGGCCATATTTATTCTGCACTCAAAAATATTCTTGCAGTGCCAGAGCCAAAATATTTTACTGCACTCACTGCTCCTACACATGCCCCTGTACCTAAGTATAGGACACAAAAGTGAGATCATTTTTACATGGTAACAGCTGGGCATTAAACATTTCCAATACTCGTATGGTAAGCTCACAGGGCATTCTCCAACACAGAAAGCACCATGGAGTCCAACAAATGCTTTAGGTCACTGGCTCACTTTCATTGAGTAAACAAGCCTTTTCTACTTTCCATCCCCACTGCATTCAGCAGAACAAGATTCATATCAGCACAAATCTCCCTTTGTGAGTAGTTTTAGTGTAATGTGTTACTGCATGAGTGGAAGGCCTTGGTGTCCTCCTTTCACTCTGCTGTGAGGGTGCTAAACTCCAGCACACAAGTGTGGTGGGCAGACAGAAGCAAGGACATGGTAAGCTGTCACAGTAAGATTCATCAAATCTCATGTATATTTTTATTCTTTTTTTTTACCTCTCCCTTCTTATTCTGAAACTAAGAAGTACCCACATGGAAAGCACATGACTCACTCTTCATGGAACTGAACTGCAGAAATACTAAAGGTGTATGTAAGACAACGTATCTGCATACTTTTGCATGTACTGTGAAATACACTTTGTGCTCTTGAGGTCTCATTCTCCCAAAAAAAGGACACAGGAATGATCAATGAAGCATGCATTGCTTTCACCTCCACTATCTGCATTGCTTACCTTCATTAACTGCATGAGGCTTAATAACGCAACAAGTACAGTTTGTGAATTTTGCGCTGCTGACTGGTCCACAACCTCCACTGGAGGGAAAGAACAACTCCAGCTCCTGAAAACAATGGTAATTGAATACATTTTAGATTGATCCAGCTGCATACGTCAGCTTTTATAATAAGTAGCAACATCTGAAGTATCCATAGTCACAGAAGATAAACTTTAATTATAAATTTTTGTGCTACAAATAATTTTTGCCTGTAATATTCTCTCAAATACTTCTTTCCTTCTCTGGCACCATTGCTACAATCATAAAATACAATTTGAATATTTTCACTCCTGCAACGCAATCTATTTCCGTTCAGAGCACTCAAAATGCTGCTGCCACAATCGTTTGGTACAGGTGTTCCCAGATTTTGAATTCTCTCTTTCCTCAGTATCTTTCCCAAATCCACTCCCATTTACATATATTTTATCTTTCCTCTTTCCACATCATCTTTTCCACTATACGAGCAAAAATGCAAATACCACCCATTTCTCAGTATGTTTTCTTTCCATATACAAAACTGACTCCCATCCTATTTGTTTACTTTTTTTTCCTTTTGTCTTAAACAACTAAACTTGGTCTAAAATTGTTGACTCACTCCTCATGCCTTATTGACTGTATTTTTTTTTTTTTAATGTTACTGAATTGAAGCTGACTAACTCAATTGCTCTGATTTCTGGGATGAATTGAAAGAACCTTTTTGCCTCCCATCACTCCTTTCTTCCCACCATGACTATTCAGGTATCATACAGCTTGGGTCTTAGACTGGACCGGGATGAGCCTGATAGCCAGGTTTCTTTCCTCAGTGATATTTTTTCACTGTTCACTGCCAGCTTCACACTTTTCCATACCATTTATTCACATATGTTGCACAATCTGCCAATTAACATTAGTCAAATGCTCAAAACACAGATTCCATTTCAGACCTATTAGTCAAATTCAGTAAGAGAATTGATAAATTTCTATTTAAGGGAAATAATAATATCCTGGAAACACTACTACCAAATCTGTATGATTTTTTCCTGTGTAACAGTAGCAGTGCTAAGGGCCATTTCCTGGAATTGTGTCATTATTTTACCGGCTCAATTCAGATGGAATAGACTTAGCTATCTCCCAGTCTTTAGCTCATGGCACTCTGACAGTTCCTGTAATCCTTACTTGAACAACTATACAATTCAAACCAATGGATCTTTCAATAGAAGGAAAAACAAGTTTTGTTCTTCTCTTAGCAAATCATCCACATTTTAAGTGCATATCTGAGACAAAAGGCTTCATTTCCTACATCCTTCTACTGATAAAATGCTGCATGCTTCAAAGACCTTGTCCCAACTCTGTTAACTAATGTTTACTCTAAAAGAACCAGCCAGGAAAAAGCAGCAAAATATTTACAATATTTAACATTTTGGTTTATCCATTAAAAGTCACAAAAGGAAAGTAACTAAATAATGCTGAAGGACTAGGATAATGAAATGTCAAACTATAACCAAGTGGAGCCTTAAAAAGAAAATTATTTTCCTTTATTTCTGATTTAAAGAAATTCCAAAATTTGGCCTGCAGAGAGACACCAGCTTAGAGCATACCAAAGGCATAATTTCACTTGTCATTTAGCCCCCAAAAGAACAATGCAGTCTTCCACTCTAACTGTTCAGTCTACAATACATTTATTAAATGTGGTTGAGACTTCATTTTCTTTCAGAAGAGTTTGTTTAGGTCCCTTTATCCTACATTTCTTTCTTTTCAGCAAAGCTTCTGCAAGGTGCAGCCAATTAGTTTCCATGGCAACTGCTATACAGCCATATAATACTGGCCCTACTAAATTAAAATAGGCACAGGGGTATTAAATTCACAATTTTGGTTGATTTATTGAAGATTGGTATCAGTAAAACCACAAAGAGGCACACACCTGCAAAAGTTCAGCAAAATAATCCACAGTCATAAAAATGCTGCAGATGAACAGGGCCTTCAAACAGCATTTCAAAAATAATGAAATGCAAAAAGAACAAACTTAAGCCAAAGCACATACTTATGCTTCTAATCAAAATTTTATGCTAATAGATACTCTTTCCTACACTCTCGGTTCAAAAACTGGCACAGTTGTCATGGCAGAACACAAGAACAAAGAGAAACTTTCACCCTCACATATGAAGGCATCTAGCTGTTTAACCAGAATGACACAGACTTTTCTGACTCCTTCATCAGAAAAGACCAATTCCATCCAAACTCCTTCTGACTCTGTACCATCTTCATCAAGTCTGGCAGCAGAAAAGCTACTTCAGGTCCAGCATATGATTTCTTGTCAAACCCCGAGGCACGCAGAGAGGACCCGGCAGCCCAGGCACAGTGCAGATAAGCGAGATGAGTCCTTGACCAGCAGAAAACCGCCGACACTTTGCAGTTAGCTTGCTATGCCATGCAGCCTAACAGCCAGCCAGAAGAAGAGGCTGACCAACTCTGCCCTCACCACCAGGATACAATTTCTCCATATATTTTCTAGTATACAGTACTTGGCAGCTTATTAGGTATTCCAGGGCAGGTCTCTTTCCAGCCGTGCTACTGCAGCTGTTCCAATTTAAATGGAAGACAGACTAGGATGAAGGAAGTAACAGCTGGTGTCTTTTTCCCCGCTGGTCTAGAGCTAAGATACCACAGCACAATATCAATCAATCATGAGGTAAATTTTATTCTTGCCACCATTTATTAGCATATCTATCCCACAACAAGGCACACAGTCACCTCAATTCTGTAGAAATGCTGGTAATATCTATCACTTAGTCCCAGGGCTTTTTCTTAGTACAGGAAAGACACACTGCAAACAAAGCAAAAGAGAATGGAACTCCTCAAAGTGAAGCCCACTGTATTACCTCTCAAAACACAGAGCACTGCAAAGTGGCCTGTTTTCATAATTATTCATTCTGAACAATAACAGCAGAGGAAAGTAGGCTGCAGGCAGAGGACTAGTGAGGACTCTGGAGGAGAACAGATAAGCGAAACACAGGCGGGCACAAAAGGGATTTAATTGTTTCATCTCTTTCTTTTTAAGATCAATACTGGTAGGCTACTGGTAGGCTACAGGTAGATTATGCAGACTATGCAATTGTCTTAATGTTCGTGATGTACAAAAGACATTAAAAATGACCAGGCACGCTCTCCTGATCAAAGTGCCCAAGGTTCTCCTTTGTGATAGAGATAAACAACATTTCTGTTTTCAGATAGTTTATTTTTCCATGCTAAAAAGGATCCATGAAGAATATCTGAACTAGTTCTGAACTCAAGTGGGGGGAAAACAATGAGGAATTCCTGACCCAGCTGTTACCAGATAAAGTAAAAATAAATCCCAGTCAACAAACAGCCAAAAACTTACTTGAGCAGCTGAAGCAACTGAATCTGGGCCATGAGCTGCATTTCTTAGGCCATCATGTCCAAAGTTCATTCTAATGCTGTCTGGTGCATCAGTCTGAGCCACTGCAGAGTTTGCTGGCCCCAGTAATGTTTTCCATTTGCAAACTGCATCATCTCCTAAGATTTCCATAGCAACAATGGGACCACTCGTTATAAACTGGAGAAGCTCACTGCAAAATGGAAACAGCACATGGTGGATCCATGCTACAAATTAAAACCAACAAAAACATACGATCCAGCGGAGGTACTCGGAACTCAATTCAGCAATGCCTTGAGTAACGTGATCTAACTTTGAAGTTGGCTCTGCTTTGAGGAGGAGGTTGGACTAGGTCATATGCAGACGTTCCCTTCTTATTAATGTTGTAGTAAAAGAACCAGATAATACAAACTCACTCAAGCTACTGTGTAGTATGTTAGATTTCAAAAGAATTTTTAAAACGTCAGTACTGGCAACAGTGAAAGAGACCCTGCTAACCATTTGTCTGACAGGAACGATTCCTAAGCATGTCTCTTCTGCACAGCAGGATTTGAGGATTCTCACACATGACCCGTGTGTGTTTCCCCACTGACACAACTTCAGAACTGGTATCAGGATGAATTGCTCCACTGCCCTGTGGATCTCTCCCATGGATTTTGCCCAGCCAAAATCCAAAGTGGGAGAGAAGGGCGAAGCAAGATTTGGAAAGTTTGTGGGGGAGAGGGGACTCAACCACAAAGTCAGTTATCCCATCCTAGCATAAACAGAAGTCAACTGATTTTAATGGGGTGAATCTGAGTAAGGAGAAGAGATTGACAGCAGCAGCCTGCCTCCTGTCCTGACCACCTCACTTACCTGGAAAACAACCACCCAAAATGGAAATCCAAATGTCCTATTTAAAAACTAAACAAAACACCATAACTACAACTCTATATCTTTACAAAACATGCATACCAACAAGCTTGCTGTTTCACTGTGTAGTCTGGACAGAACCAAGAAAGGAGAAAGTTGACTCAATGCTTTTTGTGTTACTTTCTTAAAACAAGAACTTTACACAATTATAATTGTGGATGTGTATGCTTCTCCAGCCATCTTCTTCCTAATGATCATTTATGCAATGATCAGTGGGCAAGAAGATAAGAGAAATCCTACTAGTTCTTAGCTAAAGGAATGCTATTAAAAATATTAAAAGTTACATAAAGAAGCTACACAAGGAAAAGCTATTGGAATCCAGGTTCTGTTGGTCAGAGACTGCTTGGTTAGGATACAGTTAAATGGCTTACACATACATACCCAAGAAAAAAGCAATTTCTACAACACTGCTTACTGTGCAGACTAATCCTGAATATTAAATAAATTTTTAAAATTTCATTATTTATTATAAAAACATATTTTTACAAACAAGTAGAATTGCTATTTTTCTCTACTATTCACACTTACATTGACTAGTCAGACGATTACATTGCCTTACATCAGTGAGTCAGAGATTTTACATTTCACTGCCTTTAAGATTCTTATTCGATTTGATTTGTAATGCTTTATAACTATTTGTTTCTAATTTAAAGAAAAATCCTATACAGAAGATGTAGCCAATAGGACTGTAGGATGGGAGACAGGCACATCACAGTGGACAAAGGCTACAGTTACTCAGGTAATTACCATTAGTGTAGATAGACATCTGTGAAATAACACTACAGGCAAAATTCTTGCTTATTTATCAACATATTCAAGCAGGCTTACTCAGCAAAGAAAAGTCAATTCTAAATCTTCCTCTGATCTCCAACTGAGTGAGTCAGACATAGCCTGGGGCCATGTCTTCGTGAAGGGCTTGAGTTTGGATCCACAATAAATCAGTTGCTGTTGCAGAAGAGCAGCTGGCAGACCCTAATACTCAAACACTTCATGACAGTACTGAAATCAGGTCTTTCGACCAAGTCAGTGTAAACCCAGGTTCCAACGTGGCTGTACATCACAAGGCAGAGCTGCACTCTCTTCCTAAAATAGGCAGACCACCAAATCCAGAGGGAGGAAAAGAAAGTTGTTTGTTGGCACTTTCAGGCAAAGTATAAACTACACAATCTCTAGGTCATAAGCATTGATCTGGTCAGTTATGGAAAGACTAAGCTTTTTCATGTTAGGTGGAGCAGTCTAGCATCACAGTTGTTGGAAGTTTTGTCCAAGGGTAGCAGTCCAGTAAACAACTGCCCCATGCACTATTCTTTCACTTACTTATAATTTGGGATACTTGCTGCCAAATTAGTTCTCACAGCTAAGTCTTCCCCCCTAATTCTCATTACCTGCAAGCTCCACCCTGAACCTGAAGATGCTCCTTCCCTTGGCTTTGAAGTTTTGCCTTGCTAGGAGCATTTTCACTTCTGAGAGACCAAAGACATTCCCCTGATATCACCAGGCTGTAAAGAGTGTGAGTTAAAACCCTGAATAGCTGAAATAACAATCTGTCCCTCAAGGAAGATGAACAGGGTGCATACTTTGCAAAGGGCTCCACTCAACTAAGACAAGTTCTGATTTTCCCATTGTCCTGCAGTAGCAAATATAGTAAATGAATCCTGTGCATTCAATAAATAAGTTTAATACATGTCAAGCAGAAATTGATATACCTACTTATAAAAAGGTTTTGATTGATGGTCTACATAGAAATCAGCTGCTTCTTTTCTGGAAGAGTAAAAAGACATAGATATAGATGCATAGATACAGATATATACACACACACATATACATAAATCTGCCTGAAAACCACAAACTATCATTCATCAACATGTTTCTACAGGTAATGTCTTCCCAAGCCAGATAGCTTGTGGGGTGTTCGCGCCCAATTACAGAAACTAGATTTAACTTTCTGTCATATTTTGTGTGGCTACAGGTGTAGCTTGTAGCTGACTCCTCCTCATGCTCCTGTTCTGCGAAGGAAGTAATTACTGAAGCCAGTAGCATAGACTTTCAGGCTCACTGATGGTCCCCACATTCTCGGGTTGAGAAATAAATGCAGCGGAGTCACCTTCTTGTCAAGCCATTTGTTGTTACGTTGTTTTCATCTTTCATCTCAGTTTGAGTGTGTACGTTGGTTAGTAAGTTTGGGTTTAAAGCATAAATAAACAATTTATCTTCTCCACTGGAACTTATTTCCTTATCAATGTTAGTGTTTGATTACACTGGTGCACAACAGAATATTGCATAACCTGGTTTCTATTCAGTATCCTCAAATGCTACAAGTCACATAGGCAGCACAATGCCCTCCAGATTAAAACTTGCTTTCTCCCACACTTTCCCACTTGAAAACTCAATTTGGTCTTGCATTTCCCCTCAGGGAACACAACAGTTACTACACACTGCTTCCTCCCAAAGCAATGGGGTTTCTGTAATGAGGAGGACTCCTTACATTACCAGGCAAATAAAGGCCACCAGGCATATACAGTATGTCTGTACCACAGCTGTTAACTTAGCCTTAACTCAGTTACTGGAAGCAAAAAGATACCCTTTTCAGCCAGGGTGGTGGTTCTCTCCAAGCTCTCCATTGCCACAGCCATGCTGCTAGCAGCACTGAGCTCAGGTCCCCAACTACACAAGTTTCAGGGACCATGGTGCAGACTCACCATCCATCCACCAGCAGGCATACCATTCTGTGGCTTTGCACGCCACCACCCCCTGCACCTAGCCAGCCTACTCTCTTCCCTGCTTTTTCTCCAGTTACTTCTTGTTGTGTTGAACTCTTGCTTACTGCACTGCTTCTTCTGCGTGACAACAGCTAGAAAAATCCATGGAGGTTTTAAATCCTAGCCCTGTTATTTTGCAGTTTCAAAATTCCAGTTCAGAAGAACAGGCTTGTTTTTAGCTTGCTCCAAATCCTGGTGTGTACCACTTCCTGAAGATAGAATTTGTGGAGAAGGACAAGCTCTTCAGGAAGACTGACAGGTGAAAGGAAGCAATATTGCTCACTCCTAGTCGAGGTAAAGAGTTCATAATCAAAGCAGAGCTGCAGGGAGACTAAAAGATTCCCACTTGGAAAATTGTTTTTACCTGCAGAAAGAGTCTTTCAATTTTTTCTGGTCTCCAGGATTTTGCTCACTTTGAGCAGCTCTCTTTACTGAAAGAAATTACCTGCATGTTTTTCAAAAAACAGATTCCAAGTATGAACAAAGGCACAGTTCTGTCACCTGCAATGGAACTTCTCACATCTCTCTCCCATTTGCCATCCAGACTTAAGCCCAATATTGCCAGAGGAAAGAAAGAACCTCAAGAAGAAACCTAAGGAGAACTTAATTTTCCTAACCTTGGCAAATATTTGTACACTTACAGCTTTCTCCATTTTTTTTATCAAAATGACCACCTGCTCATTGGAACTGAATAATTCCTGGTTTGTTGCTTTCAGTTCAGTGTAAGTATGAGCCATTCAAAATTCAAAAGGTTTTCATTTACCATACAGCTAATATGCTTTCCTTCCACTTCGTAAGTAAGGCAGAAACATGATTTTAAAATTATGCTAGTCACAGGAACTCTTGCAATCTCAAGCTTCAAACCTACACTCTGCAAATAGCCTGAAGTTTTTGCTTACATTTCACTATTTCACCAGAAAATCTCCTTCTGAAACTAATTCACCAAATAATTTTGGAAATAAAATATGAAAAATGTATGCAAACAGATTAAGTATTATTTCTGAATGCGAAGAAATATTAGATGGATATATTTCCGAAACAAATTTAGCTCTACTAGTCAGTTAAGAATTCCTAATGCAATAAATATAAAACTGCAGTTGTGCTGTATAACTTAGTTCCTTTTTCATTTCATCTCTCTCATCAGTTCTCTGCTTTTAAAGAACAGAAAACAGTGTTCATCTGGGAATAATAGACTGAACTGACATACAATTAAATGAAGAGACCAGAGAGCTGACCTATCAAAGCAGGTGCCTGCCCTCACTTCCATATCTTAGCTAGAATTTTTACAGAAGGCATGAATCTACTTAACAGTGATTGCCAGACAAATGCCAGTAATAATCCCCTCAAAGAAAGCAGAAGATGGTGATGCTGGTTTGAACAAGCATGCCTGCAAAGATCTAAGGGTAGAAGACTTTGGCAAAGCCATAGTTCTGTCATTTTAAAATGGCACAGTCCCAAGAAACAGAGTATATAATATGCACATAAACCACAAATACTCAAGACGTTATTTTAAACATATCCAGTATCACCGCCCAATCTTGTGCTTACTAATAATTATTTTCAATTATACAAGACAAGCAGAAATTTTTATATAGCAATAGGCAATAAAAGTTCAAGTCTCAAAGTTTCTGCCTTTCAGTGTGAGTCAACTCTAAAGCATGTGACTTGGCTCAACAGTTCTTGAAGTTCTCAGACAGACACTGAAATAAAGAATCACCCAACACAACACTTCAGGATCAAATCTCTCAGCCTGCAAGATAGCAAGACAAAAAAAGCTGGCTTGAAAGACATTGTGAATTGTAAATCAGCATTAGAAACCTAATTGAACTCACAAACCGGAGTTGTTTGAAGGAGGATCTGGGACCTGTATCATCAAACATCGCAGCAGGTGAATGCAGAGACAAGAGGAGGAAGTCACATAGTTGTTTTATCAGTATTCCAGAAAGCCATAAAGGTTTTGAGGTAGGGGAAAATTGTTCCTGACCTCACACAGAAACCATAAGAACACATGAAAATGGTATTACATAAGACAGATGACTTTTCTTTTCAAAACCACGTTGTATATGAACAGGTTTGGCAAAGCAGCAATGGAGAAATAGTGCAGTAACTTTGGGGAAGTCTGCTAGGGTAAATCAATTATGTTTTCTTTCCACCATGCCGTTTCTTAAATCTTCTGACTCAATGAGATAAATGGAGAACAGTGAAGGCTTGGGGGGATTAGGAAGATGCATGAGTAAAATCTGTTCAATCTTGCAACAACATCAGATCACTTGCTTTGCCTGGGACTTCCAGTCATTAAAAAGCAAACAAGTTTGGGTTCTAAGAGCACAAATTAAGACAACAGATTTACTGAGAGCAAAAAAGCCAACTACTTTGAAGACAACGCTGTAACAATCAGCAATATGGTTTGTATCAAGAAGCCATGAGGTGAGGACATACAGATACGTCAGTAGTAAACACTGGTGAATTGCTAAAGCTATGGGAGTCACCTAGGACTCATACAGAGACATTACATATTTAAACACCCATACTCATTTGTACAGAACTTTTTAATACTTAGCTTAGTTCTCTACATGCTTTCAGAAACCTAGATGATTATGAAACTGATGAGTCTTCCCTCTATTACTCACTGGAATGGATTTGATGTGTAGAACACCACATGATAGCTTCAGAGAACATTCTTAACTGCAAAAATAATATTTAGATACAATAGAGCTAACCTTAAAAATTCCTTACCTTGAAAGCACCATCATTTTGGCCTTAGTTATTGTAAATCCTGCATTAATAATGATATCAATTAATTCTCCAATCTTGGGCATTGCATCAGGCTTAATCAAAGCCAGCGTTCTGGAAAAAAAATAGTAGAGAGATACAGCCAATGTTACTTTCCTTGGAGCATTTGGTGTGCATGTTGAGTTTATATTCAGACAAAAAAACATCACATCAAAGACAGAAATTCTGCTGCAGCCAAACATCCTAGTCCCAGTGTCTCATCAATTTCCACGCTGTTGTGAATGCCTGCGCAAGACATTATTCTGATAAGAATGAGTTTCGCACATTGCAATTTCCTCAGCTTTCTAACCCAAGTCAGCCTACAGTGTTCCACCAGCAGTCATTATTTACTGGCTTCTCCTTCTACTCTCAGAGCAACAATTTGACCGTTTCTTCCTTACCTAGTGTATATCTCTATAATTCCTCACTCACGGCTCTGGGTTAGAACACGACTGATTTGTTAATGTCTCCCTATGCTTGCTCAGCTCCCTTTTTTCCTAGTGTTAATCATTATATACATAAAAATGAAACTGTTAAAATTCCCTGTTTAAAAATACTACTTAAACCTGTGCCTCTTCTGTAAAACTCAAAGTGAAATGATTGTTTTATTATTACTTTTAAAATACTTGGAGGTCTCAGTGAGAAGAAGGTCCTATCGTGCTTGGTACAGTACAAACACTTCATGGTATACAATTTGCATACCAAATAGCTGACACTGTTAATAGACACAATAAAAGACTGGCAGAGGAGGTATTATCTCTTATACTGACCAACAGCTATATTCTAAGGGAGACCAATCCAAAAATCTCGACACTTTCTCCCACATCTTTGTTTCCAAATACATCCTGTCTTGATAACTGTCTTTTTATACCGTACATCCCCAAGGCCAGGACTGTTTTATTAGTGTGCTTTGCATAGCACCAAGTACATCATCAGCACTAAACTTAATATTAATCAAAAATAACAGGCACAAAAAGGCCTGTAAAATGGCATTTTCTATTTGCATTCATCTTGTGGTGAGTCAGCTTGAAATGTGCTCAGCTTACAAATCAACAGATTATTTCAACCCTGTATCTCAGAAACTCCACGTCTCTGACAATCCTAAAGAGCTCTTTCCATCTTTTACACTGTTGCGAATAATGAAGGCTACCCAAGATAGATATTTGTTTTAATTGCAGTACTTCCCTAAATGAAAGGCAAATAATTGCAAATTTCTCATTTTATATACCAGCATAGCATGGAAAGCAGCCTTTAGGTTAGCAGCAATATATTCTAGCCACGACAAATATGCTGAGGTCACAGGAGATGGATGAACTTCCACTACATTTACTTTGAACCTTAAGTGACCCCAGATTGACAGATGCTTTGGGAACAGACTGACTATCTATTTCATAGCAAATCTAAAGGGAGAGAGGTGTTGGGACCAGGGAATGTAAAAAGGAAGATTTGAACATATGTGACAATTCATCTGAAACTAAGGGAGAGATACAGGCGACCTTCAGAGCTCAGAAACAAACAGAGATTTCCTCAAGCATCAGGAAGCTCATATACACAGACCAGCTTAGGCCCAGATCCATCGGGAAATATGACACAAAGACAGTGATGGACTAAGGATGTAGCCAGAAACTGCACGAGAGGAGTCAACCAAGCCTATGCTTCAGTCCACTGCAGTGTAAACTAAAGTTGGTTTAGCCCTATCTTCAGATCAGGAAAAGATGACCTCTGGTCAACATTCCACACAGTTTGCCAGCATATTCCATGCACCTTACACCCCATAGCCTGTTCCACTCTTCCCCAAGAATTTCACAGCTCCACCTCATTTTGGGATATGATTTATCATATGACAGGGTGTGCAACTTGAATCGAGGCACATGAGGGGGAGCAGCTGTGTGCTTGACTGATGACACGTTCTCACCTGGTCACACAATGCATGACCTGCATCCTGGCATAAGAGGTTCTCAACTCTGTCGTTTACCATGAACAGTAAGGATAAAACCACTGGAACAAGATGTCCAGTGCTGTTTGCATTTCCTTGAGGAATGCTTTCTGGAATCTATGTTATTACACAGGCTATTTGAGACAGACTGCTAATGTTAGAAATAAATTGTCCCTTACTTTTCTAATGTCAAGCTTTCTAGAAAAGCTGTAATTCCTACCAATATGTAATGAAATATTGCATTATGAAGCAAATTACCTAGAAGACATTAATACAAACTGCAATGAGCAACTCTTATAACATCTTTTCTCCAGCACTGTATATATAAACTTTAACATTTCAGTGTCAGGTTCTCAGAGGTATGCAGGATAAGAGAAGTATCATTCAGGATGCTGAAGACTGTTTCTGAGATTGGATTTTGATTCATGTGCCATATTTTTAGTTTTAATTAGGAATATGTTTCTTGTGGTTTGACATGATGCAGTCTGCAAAGTACATTTTGAAACAGTTTTATGTCTAGGAACAAAGGAGAAAGAATTAAAATTAAGCTCATTTGCTTGCATTTTCAGAGGGATTGTACGACAGTACCGCAATGACTACTAAAACAACAGAAGATGGGAACTGATCAAAGGAATGGTGCACAAAGCATGCCGTGACTACACTTTTGAAATCTACTTATTTCTAACAATAGGACTGTTGCATGTACAGTAGCTTATATCTTGTAGGGGAAGAAACACTGATTATGTCAATGACTTGAAGCATAAGAATAACACATCCCAATCCAAAAAGAATTCAAATATTTCTGGTTGAAACGCAAGTTTTCTAACACCATTTTCAAAACCAGTGATATTAACTGACTCTAAGTATAGTCTACTTAGAGAGGACACACTAGTCAGACAAACATTTACCTCAGGTTACCAACCACCCAGGATCACAGTGAAAGACTACATAAACAGAAATCCCTGTCCCATGCCAGTGATTCCTTATGTGGTACACTGTAAGTAAGCACATGCTTACTTGATTATTTTAGTCACTGAATGTGACTGTTTCCTTATGATACACTGGGAGGGAAGCAGAGAAGTAGAAGACTCAAATATGGCTGTATTTAAAAATTGACCCAAGATGTAAGAAAAGTAGGTGTAGAAATCAGAACTCCATAGAACTGTATTAATAATTTTAGCCTAATTCTAGAAAGGGCTTGTGCAAATCTAGCCTCTTCTTACTCATCTATTTTGTACCTCATGTACCTAGAGTCACACTTGCTTGCTTTACTGACAACAACAAAGGTCCCTAATTCAAAACATTCAAAGTTTTTTATGTACATTCCTCTCCCCCAAAGGCCTTTGCTGAGCCTATCTGCATACATATTCAGTGACCAAAGCATGTATTGCCAAAGTCAAACTAAACTGCTGATAGTCCTGTACAGCACAAATGCAAGAAAAAGACAGGGAAACATTCTGCCTCATATAAGACCCTTAAAACTATTAATAGAATTCTAACTACTGATTATTTTGGAATTATCACGTATTGCAGAAAACTTACTGTATCTATTCAACTAATGAATGCTGTAAAACCTGCTAGGAACAGGCCAAAATGACAAATACCTCATATGCAACTGTTTTGCCCAAGGACTCTTTTAATATGACCCTGTTTACTCAGTGAAAGCTTTTGTGAAGAAACTGGATTTTGAGGATCCCTTGCCTAAGACACCTTTTACTATGTTCCTTTGGGCTATTCTGAATATGTAACACCACTGGCATATCTATGTTATCTTTCAGCTGACATTCCTAAAATGTTTTCCAAACAGCTGACATGTCACAAATTCCCTTCCTTCCTTTTGTAGAGCAGTACAAAAATTCACCCCCTCCCAAGACCACCTCATTGACCCAACTATGATGTTGCTGTACAGATGGTAACTTCCCTTACAAGAAGAAGAAAACATCATTTTATCACAAGCTGCCTTTTCTTGGTATAACTGCATCAGCACCAGGGCTTATGCTAGTTTAGGTAGAGCAGGAAATACACAACTATAAAAAGTTACATTGATATAAAAACCATAAACAAGACAGATGCAATCTACTCAAGGCTCCACTGAGGAACCGAGAGAGTAGCCAAATATACAGAGGTCGTCCTTTAGTGTTCTCCACCTCCTTTGCCACTCTTCCACCATGCCCAACCCCAGCTTGGAGAAAAAGCACCAGGAAAACTCCTTCTGGAAAGATATTATAGTAGTCATTTCCAAGGCACTGTTTTTGTGAGGTTAAGACAAAGATGTGTGTCAAAACTTGCAACTCTTCCTGTATGTCCGGTTATTTACAACTCTCCAAAAAGAGTTCAAAATAAACCTAGTTAGTGGGAGGGAGCGAGAAAGAAGGTGAATAAGGCTCACTGGAACATCATACCTAAGAAAATATTCCATGTTCTTTTCAAAAAAAGCTGGAGCAAATTATCAAAATTTATTAATTCGCAAATTCAGAGATTACCCGCACTGCAGTCAAACCAGATTTAAATGCCTTGTAAATTAATCTTGTTGTCATTTTATTAAGTCTCTCCTGATTTTTTCGTTCATGGATGGGCTCTTAAAGTCTTTTCCAAAGCAAGTCTTTCAACCAAAAGGGCATGATGAGTCTTATCTTCCTCCATTATAAACCAAATTTGTCTTAACAAACAAGCCTATATATTTGATAGGCTTTCTCTGTACTTCCTTCCTTCATGCACACAGAGTTTAGGAGATGCTGAAAAAATTCTCCAAAAAAATCCTCCATAGTGGGAAAAACAATGAAGAATGGGAATGGGCCTCTCTCACTCCTGTTCCTACTGTTTTCAGTTACTACTACTAACAGAGAGCAGATCTGATTGGTAAGGCACTAGGCTTCTGCACAGATCCCAGAGACACAGGTGCTAGTTTCACAAGATGCTGGCCTTTAAAGCCCAGTACACATCAGGGTTACTATATCAGTTCTGTCCCAAGAGAATCCACAAACCACAAGAATCTTTCTGCTGCCTACCCCAGGGGAGTAACAAAGCTGAACAGCACTCCCTGTTTTCCTCCTCCCTCTCTTCTCTCATAAGAGACCTAGAAAAGGCAGCAGTTGACACCATGGAGAAGCTGGCCTTGAAGATTTATCAGGTAAGAATGGCAGTCATGGGTTTGCCCAGCAGCTGGGGCCACTTTGTGTCTCTCCAGCTATCAGTACGCCAGATCACTTCAAACTGCAGGCAAACTTGCAGCTATCTCCTTCTGTCCCCACAGTACAGAAAACTTACCTCGTTTCCAGCAAAGAACAAACTACTTTGAAACCCCAATCACAAAGGAAGATTTTAAAAAAACATGCTTTCTTACCTCTCTTTGCGGCTCCCCAGCTTGCGGGCTGTATATTGATCCCCATAGTCCACTAAGGATAGATGACGGGAAAAAACAGTAATTTTGTTGCCCACAAATAAATCCTCAAGGTGTAAGCTCTCATACTTGGTGCGCTTCAGAAAGGTGCGATGGTTCTTCACATCATACTGCAGAGAAAAGAACATTAAAATCTACCATAGCAAGAGATTTAAGCTGTGGGCAAACTCAACATAATCTTTACTCTACCTTCAGAAATTTCCATAGTACTGTGGGATTGAATCTGATCACTAAATTGATTTAATTCCTAACCCTTTGAATTTACATGTGTATGAGGAAAGCTTAGAAGACTAAACCACAATTACAAATTCATTCCATTTAAATCGTCTCAGGCTGACAGCTATCTTTGCATTTATTTTATTATTTGCTTGTGCTAAATCAAGCTGTGATAAATGGTTCAGGCACCTAGTAGATATCCCTGCCCAGTCTCACTGAGAGTTCCCCCTAGCAGATCCATGCTGTTTCACAGACCAATGGCTCGCACCAGGAACGATCAAGATACACACTGTGGCAGGTCTCCTCTTCAGGGCATCGTTCCAGTGATACTATGCTTTATTTGACCGCATAAGACTCCGAATTAGAGATGGATGGATGATTGCAACACTAGGTTGAGACGTTCTTACTGCCTAGAGCTGCAAGCTCAAAAGCCTGTCAAGACAATTCAGCTATACATCATCATTCCAAGCAAGAAGCAAGACGTTAATGTGTAGTTTTCTGGGCGGCCTGGCAAAACACAAAAG